TGACCAATGCAGTTGTCTGGAAATCTGTACAGTTTACAAACTTTGCGTTGTACCTTCACCCTCACAGAAATTAATAATCAATAGTCCTTGTGATGCACATGGGCATTTCAAGAAATTTTTTTGGGGGGGCGTAAGAAATCACTTTTTTGAGGGCGGGAGGAATTTCCGATGGAGGAGGAAAGCACTCGTCAGCAGCAAACCGATTTAACGTGGATTGGGGCTCATTTCCGAAACATTTTAACGAAATCGGTTTTGTTTCATATTTTCATTTCTTCAGCTTTTCCCCCTTTTAGGCTTTTTCAGCAGGCACGGTCCCCCTTGCCCTCTCCCCCGCAACGTCCATAATTGATTCACTTAAGTATTTAATTTTGAATTCCTGAAATATCTCCTTACGACCTCAACAATTGTTAATTGGAGAAGAAGGAATTTCAAACAAAATAATACAAACCGAAAATGACTATACACGTATAACATTTGAAGTGCTTTACACGAATTCTTTGTGTTGATTTAATAACTCCAGTTAAATTCAGATGTAAATAATTTTATGATATAAGATAATTTTTAAATGCAATTTCCAAACGCAAATGATAAGTAGGATTGAATGACAAATGACAATAGAGTGTTCAAATGATTACATGTTCTGCGGAGTTTAAAGAGATTAAGCACAATTATTTTCCATCCATGAAAGGATGGTCCAGGAAAGAGTAACGTGTGGCTTTTAATTGAAGCTAAAAATGATTGCAGAGTGGAAACCATACAGCAGAAGTTAAGTATTGTAATTCACTGCCCTTCGGGTTTCAGTGGCTATTTGCATGGGAAGGTAGCCACAGTTCTGTTATCTCCCTTTAAAAGACATGGCAACTGCCAGTGGCGCCTTTGTTCCTTTTGCTGGTTTTGTAACGTATGAAAAATGTGTGCAGTCCTTTTTAGAAAATACTCCCAGAAGCCAGGCCAGTTTGATAACATGGGGCACCTTAGGAGTGTACATGGCGAGTAAAAGACAATACGTATACCATTCACGCCAACAATGGTTTATCAACATGCAATTAAATTGCATTCTATGCATCGTCACTAATTAAAAAGTTTCTAATTTAACCAATTTCTAATAAGTCATCGATACCTGGGACGAGACTGGATGAATCGGAAACCTCATATACTTGATTCACTTGTTTGTTTAAGGTTTGCTGTTCGGATTGCAAAACGGCGAGTTTTGATTGGTCATCCTGGTGTACAGACCATACTTACTCCACGGTGTCTGGTTGGCTTGGTAACCAAATTTGACACCGCTGACGCCACTCTGACCACTGTATTTGCATCCCTGTCCTTGGCCATTCTGCCAGGTGCAGGGGTAAGCTAAAGCGCCACAGTCGTTGTTAATGGTTTCTGTGAAGTAGTCAATGGCCTTCATATGACCGCACGTAGCCTCCGCCAATACCGGCCAGGAGGTACATCCGGGCATGTGGGTGCCATAGTTTGGATAGACGTCTACATGGCCCACCTAGCGGAGCGCAGAATGAAAAAAAAAAAACATTTCTTATTAGAAATTCTCCACTTCAAGATAGCATCAAACCTAATGACAAGAGACAGTCATTGTTGTTATGAGAATACCTCTTTTCAACAATATCCATTTGCCCTCTGGGTTCCTCAGCAAAAAGTTTACTTATTGAACAAGCCAGCCTTCGGTAATTGGCATGCACGTTTTGAGAGATTTTTGATTATTTGTCAGTTTGATTGAGTGGCATTTGATTGTCAGGCTAAAGAACTTCTTGACGCCTTAACTGACATTAATGTTAATAAATGTTTAACTGATATTAATATTAATGTCGAACTTAAATTTTGCCTCCATGCCAGTTCAATAATTCTGCATGCCCTGCTTGCTTCCTTGACGTTGTAGTTTGCGGGGTTTTTTTTGCAAGAAAACTGTATCACTGTACTTAATCAGTGGCGCACCCGGATCTGTCGCGAATGGAAGCTCAGACCAGCAAAAAAACAAAACAAAAACAAGAAACAGTTGATGATGATCAGCCCCCTCTCCCCAGTTGCACAGCGTAGGACTGGGATATACGGCCGTCTCAACGCTAATAGTTTAAGAAGTGCATCTTCGTTTTTCAAACATAAGAAAAGAAAAACAAAACCCGGGGGGGGGGGCTCAACTCCCCGTGCCCCCTAATTGGGTGTACATTTGTATCAAACTTAGAAACATTATGATACATGACATTGTGCAGATTCTCCCCTTTATTTGGTGTACCCGAGGCATCTGCGTTACAACGTCGTACCATTGTTTCTGTGAATTAATGTCATTTCCATTCTATCCCAATTCCTATTTCCATTTACAATACTAAATATTTCGCTGTTTCTTGTAAAGGAGTGAATGTGAATATTCTACAAGGATTTTCAAAACTTACCGGCTGGAATATGCCAAACAATGAGCAATGGCTGGCGTCAACAAATTTGGCGTCGCCCCGGTCAAGTCGGCAGCCTCTCTGATTGCCTTCGAAGTCAGGTTCTGCGGGATCCATACCTAAAGCGACATATTGCTTACGGTCAGAACGACATTCAATGCAATATGGTATATCCCCACTGTCCAAAAATGATTCTTAAAACCAGGGGAGAAGCATGCATGGTCGAAAACTAGTGTCAGTTGAAGTTCTTCCTAACTGAAATGTTTCTTCTGTAAAAATAGACAGCGTCCAAGTTATGGCTTTACGGCTGAAATGAGTTTTAGGGCCTACAGCCGTAACAAATTCGGGCGATTCACAATAGTGCGCCACCAAGAGTTTGCAACACGTTGGCAGATTATAACGCGCGAAGTTTGTCGATCCTTTCGAAACACGCATTGGGTCGACAAATTTCGCGCATTGTGATTGGTGGCACTCTTGGTTGCACACTATTGTGAAACGGCCGTATTTGTTCGACGTTTGTTTCACCTAGGGCAGTGACTTGAATTTTCTTTAGGAACATATTTTGTGAGAAAACCTTGTCTCGATGAACTGTCGTATTTGGAAACCACAAATCATCAAAGAATCAAAAAATGGCCAAAACTTACAAACAGGTTCAGCCTTGGTTGGCAATAAATTTTGCCTCAAAATGTACTCTTTTGATCATCGGTGTTAGGGACCTATAGACAAATCTGACGCCAAAATGAGAAACCCAGTTACTACGGGGGCTATCGCGTTCGCACGCAGGCGGTGCGTGCGCGTGAAATTCTTCCTTGACCAATACGCAGTAAACATGTTTTAAAAGCTCCCATGGTGTAACCGCAAGTAAACTGCCGAAGTGCGCACGCTCAGGTTGAGACATCTGCGTGAGTGTAATGGACCCTCAGAATGGCGTCTCATTGGATTTGTCTATAATGGAAGGCACTATTTGACTGTACACAGAAGTATGTATTATTTACATTGTAATATTTACACGAGATTTTTTCACCACTTTGTGAATTATTCTTTAAAATTTGTGTTCATTAACAGCTACGGTTTTACCAAACACTGCTTGACAAAACTCCGCAAAGGCAAAAAGAAACGTATGTATGTGTTATGTCAGTCTCAATAGAGTTTTGGTTTGCAATTTTTCGGATGTTACTTACCAGAGATGCGTCCAATTTTACCACCAAACTCTTTGCCAACATACCCGGCCATCTGACCACCCAGACTGTGTCCGATAATGTGCACGTTATTGAGGCTAAAGGCCCAAAACGAGGACTGCATCTTCTTGATGAGATTGCGGATTTGGCGGGCCACCACGCGAATGTTCTGGCGTGCCTTGCAGTAGTCGGGAATAAAACTTGGACTAGCTCCCTTTTCCCAATCTACGCCGATAACGTTGAAGTCACCCTGAAGTGAATAAATGCCCGTGGTTTGTTTAAAGTGTCTAGGTGTCGTGTATTGTATTATATCCTCAATCCGAAACAATGGTAATCAGTCATTCATTACCTGGTGAGGGTTATCGTTAATTTCCGTATGTAGTTTTTGTGGAGTATGGCTGACGCACTTTTTAATGTGATTTTTACTTGACACCTCTGGGAATCAAAATACGAGGATATTTTCTCTGAATAAAAAAAACGAAGGTTTTCTGAAAACAAATATCTTAGGCTGACTGTATGGAAAAATTCCAAACGTCACCTTATGACGTGAAAAGTCCAGCATAATGTTTTAGTACAATTTTGCCTGAATAAATCTCTGTATTAACTGAAAAAAACGTGAATAACCCCCGTCAGAACAAAGTCAAACACTGCTTACGTGCTTGGTTTGAAAAACTGTTTTTGCTTGCGCAACCAAACAGGTGACAGTGGAATAGAACAGTCGTGAATTGCTTTACGGTTGCAAAGTGAAATTAATAGAACAAGTCGTACGAAAACTCAGGTGACAACAATCAACTACTAAATAATACGGGGTCTTACCTTTTTAAGTAGTTTATCTTTCATTTTCAGCAACCAGCTTGTTTCTCCCTTGTCAGTGAATCCGTGAATAATGAACTTGGTAGGACTGGAGGCAGAGAAGGGATATCCCAATGATGACGTCGATATCACCGTCGGTGATGACGGGTTCTTGCGGGTGTACAGGCGAAACGTGGTACCAATTTGGTTCGGATGCATTGGTGGAAATCCCCTGCGATGACACCATAGATCAGCGGTGAAGGTGCCTACCTCCGGGTAGGTGACAGGGGGAAAGTTGCCTGTGCACACGCAATCGGGATTAACTGGAAAGAAACAAACGTGAAGAAACATATTAGATTGCATAGCAGTGAAGTGAAAGTCAATATACGCGGGCTTCGATACTCGAAGCCGTTTGGGCAAGGACTGAATCCGACTAGTGTAAATTTTTGGCAACTGGCCTAGGTCGTTATGAGTTTTAAAATGACTTGACCGAAGTGCTTGTTTAGAGGACTTTACTTCACTCAACTCGAATCGACTGCTAATAACATTAAAATACCAACACTCTGTAGGAAAAATTGCGATGAGCTAGAGTCAAAGGTAATTGATTAGGCCCAAGTTTCGGTCTAAGTTCATGCACTGAGTTGCGGGTGCTTTTTCAGCCCTTATTTAAACCCTTGAATATTTAGCTACCCAAAAAATTATCCAATACCCCGTGTTTGGATCATATGCTTATGAACAACAACACTTTGTTTAAACTTGCAGACTGAATACATGTAAACCATTAAGATTGTACTCACGATTAAGTCCTATGCAATCGCAAGCACCTATCCGTTCGGCTGTTGAGAGGAAATAAGATTTAATTAGTCAATGTTGGCTTTACCTTCTGATGACATACTAAATAAGCGCAGTGTCACGTGGCATATTTCATATTAGAGAACTTCTACTGTTCCCGTAACAATTGATTTCAGGTTGATAGGAATAGCCATTCCTATATAAAATTATGTTGGTCGAGAGCTCGTTACGTGGCGGGCTTTTAAATAACCAGCTCGGGATTATAGTCGTTGCTGATGTCCCCCGCCTTCAGCTCGGCTATTGTCAGCGACCATTCTCCTGAACAGGACGAACGCAAGCTGAAGACTGATGAGACGTTCTCGTTCAGCGCCCGGGGCTCGGATCTCCAGAAGAACGCACCGGATAAATGAGCAGTTTACCGCGATGTGCCCATTTATTTAGTGTCCTGATTTTTCCAGTCGCACACCTGTGTGAGCGATTGATCGAACTACTGATTTTCTGCTGATTCTTTTATCCCAAGAGGATGCCTCCCACTTTACAGACAGGCCTACTGTTTTATTTTCTGGCTTATCTGGCATTTGTCAAATCTGACACTAGACGCCATGACCAACAAAAATCACTACGCCTTTACTGTTTTCTTTCATTTCCTCCCCCCGGCCGGTGCTTGCATGGTACATGCCATAGGTCGCCCGTCGCGACGGGTGACGGAAGGGGCGACGTTTAGGCAAAAAAATGCACCAAGGAAAGGACCTAAGACAGCACGAGGCGACGGACGACGGCACGACACGTCTCATGTGTACAAACACAATGGCGAGAAGGCGACAAGACGGTGCCACCCGACAGCACGACGCTAAGGAGCCGTCCTGCCGTCGCGTCGTGTAGTTGCGTCGCCTGAAGGAAGGCTAGAGAGAGAGAAATGTGTGTCGTAAATAGTACACCATACCGTTACGACGGCTAAGCATATGTTTATTACCTTATAAACGCAAAGGTTTTTCCGTTATATTCTGAGAAAATGGAAACGTTAAAAAAAAGTGTAAATTGCAAATCTTACCCCCATCGTTGGCAGAGGCAAGGAAGGGACCGAGAGCCAAAACCAAAATATAAGCTGCGATACCCATGGTGTGGAGCAGTTGCACGGTATTCAGGAAACGATGCGAGTCAGTTTCACTTGCAGGATGAAGGTGTCTTGACAAGAAACATGGAAATTTAAAGGAGAATGTAGCTGCCTGGATCGCCTAATTTGTTTATGTGTCGGTAACTTATTTGCAAGTCGTTGCGTGATTGACAAAGTGTTATAACCTTACATTCCGAAAAGTTTGTCAATCAACAACAACTGAGACATTTTTTGACGAATCCCGATCATGCTGTCATCGGCCAATGGCTGATAAATCAGCACCGTGGGAACTAGGTTGCATGGTTTCTCTATATATCTCGATACCATTATCAGAGACAAAGTTTGCTTGGCGGATTGCATAGTCCTAAAGGGTCAGTGAATTAATTCTCCGGGTCTGTACAATATCTGCATGTTGAAAAAATAAAAGTCGTTGTCACACACATCTGAGCTTTTTGTATAAGCAAAACTAACAAACTTTTCTTGTCCTTTTAGTTTTCTATGTACATGTATCAAGAAATGTATGTATAGAATAGGGACAGAAGGCTCAAAACAGAACGGACTAACGCCTAGATCAATTGCAGCTGGAACTCACCCAAAGTGGCCTTTAATTTCAACATGGGAGACTGCCTAAAACCTTCTCATTCCATATGTAAATTGCACCAATTTACGGCCTCTCGACCTAACACAAATCAAATGGGTAAATAACTCCACTCGACTCCATTGGACTCGACTCGAGTCACTTTGAACAAAATTGCTCGACTCGAGTCACTCATCAGAGGTCCCAGCTCAAGTGACGAGTCCCCCCAAATGATAATTCGTTACAACTCTGCGTTATTAGGCCTATGTCTGTCTATAATTTGTTTGAAATTATTCTTTCCACTTTGACTTTCTCGAATTTAGTCGGTACAACAAATACCTTAGTGTCACAATGTGAGAAGTTTATAAATCATGTTTACATTTAAAATTGGGAAATATTTAAACCGTGTTTATATAAAAATTAGTGGAAAGGGAAAATTATTGGGCTAAGAGTTACTTCCAGATTTTGAGTTTGTCCCCACACACCCACTGCAAAGTGTAGAGGGTTACCCTTAACCAAATATGTCAGAGAATACGTAGTAGCAAGAACTGTTATGCAAATTAATCATGCTTGAGTAAATGTAGTCCAAGGCACTTCCCTGTGTGTGTGCTGTTAGGCACTACCAATGCAGCTTTAGTGGTGTATGGAAGGGTAGTCCACCTGTGTGGTGAGGTACATGTGCTGCGTGTACAGTACATAGGGCGTGGCCCTAAAGAAAAAGCAAGTTTGGAAGTCAAATTGTAAGTTAATTTCACTTGGTTTATATTTATGTTTATGCTTATTTTGTATAAGATAATTATGAACTCATTTAAAAGATGTATTTCTAAGCCAAAAGTCGCATTTCGTGACAAACTATTTGAATGGCCAAAAATTGTTGAAGGTCATTTGGATTCTTTTTCAAAGGGTTTTCCCCGAGGAGAACTTAAAACCTTGCTGGTTCTGAGTGAACCATTTGTTCTTAGTGAACAACCATCATTCTGAGGGAACCATTTGTTCTGAGTGAACAACCATCTTTCCAAGGGAACGAGCTCCAGAATAGCTCCACAGTTCTTAGTGAACTAGTCACCCCACCCAGCTCGAGGTGAAATAGGTACGGAGAGGTTTGATGCCGACAATCTGGCCAGCAGGGAGTACCGCTCTTCGACCTTCCTTGAAGATCAGCCCCGGCGCTGGTGTTCATCCGTTCACCCAGCTGGAGACAGCTTCAATCCAGGGAGCTGGCAAACATCTTTCAGAGAACAACACGGTACACGGGCGTGGGCATCATTCCACCCATGCGAACAGTTGACCGCTGTGAAGGTGGCCTTGTGGAGGCCTGAATAATTAACTGATTAGGTTGTAAATATTTATTTATTTGTTTTATTTATTTCATGAAACAGCCGTAGGAGGGATATAATTAGGTATTTTCAAATTTTACTAATTCGCTCGGAAACTGCTGGCATGTTGGGATCTGTTTTTTTTTGGTAGAATAAATGTTCCTATGTCAAATGCAAAAACGGTTGATCGATTTGGAAGTATGATTGTTTGAACTCCGAAACCTGTGTGCCTACTACAATACTGGTTAGATTATCACCGTCTGTAAACAGCAAAGTAGCTTATGATCTACAAAAAAGGTATCAGCCAATCAAATTGCCCTCCTTACATCGTTCATACCTCTACTACACTACACGAGTCTACAAGGCTGACTACTTTGATTGGTGGAAAATCTGTATACATTATACAAGATCACTTTGTTCATACGCAATTATGAATAACTACATCTACATATTACCAACGAGGGATCTGATTGGCTTATCCGTCAGGTTGCTTCTACTGACTGGTGACACACGTTGAACAATCTTTGAAGTTGACGCCGGATTTTGTAGAGTGGCCATCAAATTAGTGTATTGCGCAACACACTGTGCAGTTTCAGCTACGGTGCATCTACAGCAGTCTGACGGCCGGGGTTGTCAAAATCATCCCCCAACTCCTTGATCAAGGCTAGTGAGGCCGCAGGCAGTGTAGTGTTGAGTAGGGGAGAGAAACTAGGCCCCGCACACTCTAAAACCACTGTATTATAGGCAAGCGAGCCATCATGTACGACTCTTACGGCATACTACGGCAAACCACGAAAGAACCAATGTACACACGCAGGAATGTTTGGCGACCCCCAGCAAGGAACCTGTTTTTGCTCCCCTATTAATCCGGAGACACTGAAATATGACCTGACTTGAAAGAGAAAGATCCTCCCGAAAAATGATCTCTCTCCCTCGAGAAATTATATGAAGACCAGTGCAATTCGGTGTTCTCGAACGTAGATTTATAGGTTACAAAATTATATCGGACGAAAATCGTTCGGTAAAAGCTAAAATATTAAAAAGATCAACATATTTTAAAAATTTTACAATTTATAAGGAAACAAACTTTTAAGAAAAATCTGAGTTTACGAAAGATTATGCAATTTAATTTGACAAAAAATTAATTCCCCGCCTATAAAAAAAATTACAACACATAGACTCGGTTAATTTAAGATACGCCCATTTTATTACGATTACTCTGGACCTTCCTCGGAAAAAAATACGCAACGTAGCATCCCTGTGACCCCTGACATGTTGGGTCATGAACTATATTTAACCATCGCCGATACCTGACCTGGGATTTTTATCTGAGTCGTCAGGTTTCTCCGGGTCAGGAAACCAGAAGTCGCCCTCTAGCGTCTTGGGGCCAAGACCTACCTTTTTTTAAATAATGAATGGCTCTGTATCTGCTGGTTGAGGATGAATACTTTCAATTTTTTCAGGGGAAGAGGATAGCACTTGTCAGCAGCAAACTGATTTAACGTTGATGCATGGGCTCATTTCTGGGGTATTTTTAAGGAAATTGGTAATCTTTATCTCATTTTTTTAATTTCTTCTCGTGTCTCCTCCCCCAAAACGCCCCTGATGCCTGAGACATTTTCTTTCCACAGTCCACACTGGATGACGACCTCAACAATTTTCAGTGTTCAGGAAGGGGAAGGTGAATTTCAAACAAGACCAAACCGAAATGACTATGCGCGTTAAAAGATTTGAAGTGATTCACACGAATTCTTCGTGTTGTTTTAATAACTCCGATTAAATCCAAATGTAAATAAATGTATGGTATAACGTAATTTTTTCAGCTCAATTTTCAAACACAAATGCTAAGCAACGTTGAATGACGACAGAGTATTGAAATAATTAAACGTTCAGGGGAGTTTAGCTAGATTGATCGCAATCATTTTCCATGTTAAGTATGGTCCTGTAGGGAACAGCGAGTGGCATATAGCATAGGTCTAAGTATTGTAAAACACTTCCCTGCGGGTGTCAGTGGCTATATTTGGCTGGGAAGGGAGACACAGTTTCATCATCTCCTTTTTAAAGGCATTGCAAGCGCCAGCAGCGCCTTTGTTTTTTGGTTGCTTTTTAACGGATGTGGACTAGTCTGTCCTTTTTAGAAAAACTCACAGACACCAGGTTTGGAAACACCTATGCCCGGTTTAATTATGGGGCATCTTAGAAATGGACATCGCTTGTAAAAGACAATATGTACCATTGACGCCAACAAGGCATTATCAAAATGCAATTAAACAGCATTATACCTCGACATTGATTAAACAGTTTCTAATTTAACCATTTCTAATTAGTCAAGACTATGTTAGCTGTTGAATTTGTTTAAGGTTTGGTATTTGCACAAAACGGCGCATCTGCATTGGTCATCCTGATGTACAGACCGTACTTACTCGACGGTGTCTGGTTGGCTTGGTAGCCAAATTTGACACCACTGACGCCACTCTGACCACTGTATTTGCAGCCCTGTCCTTGACCAGTCTGCCAGGTGCAGGGGTAAGCCGAGGCGCCGCAGTTATTGTTGATGCTGTCTATAAAGTAATCAATGGCCTTGCCATGGCCGCACTGACCCTCCAGCAGGTCTGGCCAGCTGACACATCCGGGCATGTGGGTGCCATAGTTTGGATAGATGTCTACATGACCCACCTAGTAGACCGTAGATTAAAATAAGAAGAAAAAAGGCATCTTTGTAACGCTGTTTTTTTGTGAAGCCTTGGAGTAAATGTGAACATTTTAAAATCATTTTCAAAACTTACCGGCTGGAATATGCCTAACATTGAGCAGTGGTTGGCGTCAACGAATTTGGCATCTTTTGGGTCAAGCCGGCAGCCTGTCTGATCGCCTTGGAAGTCAGGTTCTGCGGGATCTATACCTAAAGTGGCATATGGCTTAATGTCAGAACGACATTCAATGTAATTTGGTGTATGTCCCCAAAACTCATTTGTTCGGATTGATGGTTAATGATTACCATTGAAAATGACACGTGTGCAAACGTGTACATTTCATGATGGCTACTGTTGTTTCCTTGAGATGTATACATATGACCGTGTAGCCAGTTTGCTCGGCGTTTGTTTTGACTTAGGACAGTGACGTAAATTTTACTTGCGAACATATTTTAGAAAAACCTTTCTCAGTGCCAACAGTGAACTTTCATTTTCGGAAACAACGAATCATCAAAGAAACGAAATTACAAATACAAAATATTCAAAGTTTCGATAAATTCGTTTGTTGAAAAAATAATGAATTGGAGACAATAAAATAGATATCTGCAAATTGTTAACTCTCTGTGCTGAGAGAGTCGTAGTAAGATATTCCTTTGAAAAAAAAACTTCGGTTGAGATACCTTGTATATTCACCTTAGTTCACAAACATTGACCAGTCTTTTGTATGAGCGAATTAGAAGAAAATTCAGCCTTGGTTGGCAACAACTTTTGTAAGAGAACTTGCAGTTTCTTCCACAGGAAGCATTGTCTGATATAACTACTAGTTAGTAGTATAATATTCACGTGGAATTTATTCAACCCTTTGCGAATCATTTTATTCACTGATTGTCAAAACTGCATACATATAGGCAAAAGAAACGTCTGTATTTGTAATATCAGTGACAATGGAGTTTTTGTTTGCAGTGTTCGGGACGTTACTTACCAGAGATGCGTCCGATTTTACCACCAAACTCTTCGCCAACATACCCGGCCGTCTGACCTCCCAGACTGTGTCCGATAATGTGCACGTCATCGAGGTCAAAGGCCCAAAACGAGGACTGCATCTTCTTGATGAGATTGCGGATTTGGCGGGCCACCACGCGAGTGTTCTGCCGTGCCTGGCAGTAATCGGGAAGAAGACCAGGACTAGCTCCCTTCTTCCAATCTACGCCAATAACGTTGAAGTCACCCTGAAATGAATAAACGCCCATGGTTTGTTGACATGTTGACAGTGTTTAGTTGCTGTGTCGTAATCTCGTAAATATTTTCCCCTGTAGCATGACCTACATATTGGCTTATGAGCTTTTTTCTTTCACGCCTCTTTGTCTAAAAATGTTTATTTTAACCCTGCGTCTGCAACGTTACCTTATCTCGTTGGGCAATCGTGAAATAATAATTTAGTAACATTTTTAGGCACATGATGCAAATAATGAAGGTTCTATGAGAATAGGAATCTCAGCCTTATTACATACATGTGGAAAAAATTCACATGTCACCTTATGGCATTATTCAGTTCATATTCAAGGAACGTCCAGCATTTGTTCCAAAACACTTACGCCTAAAAATCCCTGCATTAACTTAACCAATTCCTGGAAAAACTCCCTTTCAGACAAAAAACACTCATTACTGATATGCTTTGTTTGGAAAGTGTTTTGCTTGCATCACCAGAAAGGTGATCGTGGAATAGAACGGTTGTTAACAGCTGTGCGGTACAACGCGTGATACAAACACTCAGGTGACAAAGATTTCGTCGCGTGTGATAAAATTAAATAGGATTGGGTCTTTAACCTTTATAAGAAGTTCATCTTTCATTTTCAGCAACCAGCTCGTCTCCCCATTGCTAGTGAAGCCGTGAATAATGAACTTGGTGGGATTGGAGGCAGAGAAGGGATACCCCAACGATGACGTCGATATCACCGTCGGTGATGACGGGTTCTTGCGGGTGTACAGGCGAAACGTGGTACCCATTTTGTTAGGATGCTGTGGTGGGAATCCCCTACGATGACACGGTAGGTCAGCTGTGAAGGTTCCTACCTCCGGGTAGGTAACGGGGGAAAAGCTGTCCGTGCACACATAATTGGGAGACACTGGAGAGAAGAAAAATGAAACATACTAGGTACCACTGCAGTGAAGTGAGAGTCATTATACAGGTCTCTCGTTACTCGAGGCGGTTTTGGTAACTCAATCTATTACTACTCGCAATCGACTCGAGTAAAAAAATTTAGCAACTTGATAGAGTCGCTAAAGGTAAAGGAGTCCTCCTTTGGAAGGCTTCATACCTAACAGTTCACTCAACTCGAATCGATTACTAATAACACTAAAATATCAAACTTTGTGGGAACAAACCTGCGCAGACTTAGAGTCAAAATAGCATTCCATGTTCTTGTGCAGTGCTAACGTCAAGTACCATCCCTTTTGAGGGCGCGGTAAGGTAGCAGGATTCGATTGGAGTTCATGCATTGCGTTGCAGCTTGTTTTTTCGTCAGTACTGACTGGGAGCCTTTGATACTGCCCTACCCCAAAATTGTATGTTAGATATTTTCTAGACGTATTGTTATTGTTAATATCTTTACAAAGACCTTTTGCCTCAAATAAATATATATGTGTACGAACAACACACTTTCTGTAAAGTTCCAAACTGTTTAAACCATCAAGGCACAGCTGTACTCACGTTTAGTTAAATCGCAATCACAATAGTTCGCCCGTTCTTCTGCGGAGGGGAAACATTTTCACAGGTCATTGTTAACTTGATAATATTAACTCTGCATACAATTTTTCCCGTTAATGCAATTCATATGAACACCTTGTACCTTCTAACGACAGGTCAATATACAGTACAGTGTTATCGCCATATGTTTCACATTTATTTTAGAATAATTGATTTTACTCTAATTAATCCATAGAGAGGAAAACAAAGCATGTTAGTATGTTAGAGGCGCGTATGCCCATTTAAATTTCGAACATTTTTATATAACCGGTTTTGATAACCCTATCAATAAGTATTTTAAAATACCAAAGACAAGTTAGCCATCACTATAATGGTGGTCGAAAAGGAGCCAGTTACGAGGCCGGTCTTAAATGACTAGCTCAGGAGAATGAACGTTGATAAGGTCCCCCGCCTTCAAATCAGGTATCAAGGACCATTTACCCCAGCCTTTTGGAAAAGAACGAACCAAATCAAGCTTAGCACATATTTCTTTCCTTTAATTATAATTTCACAGGCTTTCCCGTTGTTTTCTGGGGAAAGATGGAAAGGTTAAAATGTATAAATTGCAAAGTCACCTGCTTCGTTGGCAGCGGCAACAAGGAGACCTAGTGCCAAAACCAAAACGTTGGCTACGATACCCATGGTGTGGAGCAGATGTACTCAGGAAAAGGATGCAAAGCGGCCTCACTTTTAGTATGAAGGTGTCCTGTCAAGGAATGGGCAATTTTAAGGAAAATGCAGCTGCCTGGTTGACCTGATATTTTAATTTGTCGATAACTAATCTGCAGTTCGTTTTGTGACAAACAAAGTGCTATCAGCTTATATTCTGATGATTTGACAATCAATGACTTTCATTTGGAACGGGACAAATTTGTTTTGGACGACTCACTGGTCAAACTGCTGTTGACCAATGGCAAGATAAAAGGATATCGTACGAACTGCGTTTTACGAACAATATTGCTGGCTTGTAATTATATTTAGAGATAAGGACTTGCTCATCGTTCACGATATAATTGCACCATATGAAAGACGGAAAGGTTTTCAAGTTAAAGCTGGTGTGTGTTTTTCTCTACGCCTCAATCCCATTATCAGACACAAATTTTCTTGTTAAAACAGTTACTGCAAAAGGAACGTAAGTCGATTTGAGGAGTCAGTGAATTAATTCTTAAGGTCTGTATTAATGTTATCAGTTGCACTGTATATGAACTGAAACCTGCATTTTGAACAAGTAAAGATCGCTGTTCACTCACATCTCATCCCAATGCGTTACGTAAATGAAACTATTATAGTTGTGCCTTTTTTGACAACAAGTTTTTGACTGGAAAAGAGGCTGGAGGATACGAGCAGATAAACATGTGAATCAATTCCAATCGGAACTAAACAAAAGGTAAAATTGTGCCATGCAAAATTTTTTTAAATAATTCTGCAAACATAAATGGGGTCATTGTCATGGGATATAGTTTCTTTGCTCTACAGAGTAAGGAAACTAGCTGGTGTTTGTCGTAAAATTTCTATTCTGCTACACTATAAAAAAAACAGAGTTGAGATATATTTGAGGGCTTTTAACAAATTTTATTGTGCAGTATGGGTCAAACCTACTTTTGGTCAAAATAATCAACACACCAAAAGGTAAGCTTTCAATAATTTTGTAGATAAAAACTCAGCTAATTCAGGGTGAGGCCAAGACAAAGCATTTTGGTCAAACGCTATACCGATATGAAACGGTAACATATCATCAACAGTGGTGGGTCATCTTTAAGGAAAAGGCTGTACGCCGTTCTACAGCCGGCCCGAACTCGAAGAATTAAATATTTCTATGTTCGGCATGGCAAAATTGCACGGTGTTTAGAGCAATTCGGCTGGGCAAATTGAATTCGGCAAGGCAAGTCGTTTGGCTCCACAGGGTATGCCGCGCTATCGTCGTTCCAAAAGAAAATGGCACGACGCAGCTCTATTTTAGTTCGACGTTAAGCGCTATTCTATTGGCGCACTCGTTAAGTTCAGCACGGCATGGCACCCACGAAAAATATCGTAAGAACTGCGTTAAATGAACCATATCGCTGGCTTGTACTTATATTTAAAGATAAGGACTTCTTCGTTGTCCATGGTAGGCTTGCATAGTGATTTAAGCTGGTGTGTGTTGGTTTTCCTATACACGTCTCACTGTTCATTGTTCATGGTATAAATGCATTTATGTAAGACCTGTTTCAGGTATTCAAGACTGTTTTTGAGGTTAAAGCTGAAGGGTGTGTATAGTTTTTCTATACATGTCTCAATCCTGTTATCAGACACAAAAATTTGCTAAGCAAATTTGCAAAACGAAAGTAAGCAGATATTGAGTGTTCAGTGAATTAATTCCTCAGGTCAGTAGTGTTATCAATTATTCAACAACTACATCTTGATAAACTTGACGCATTGTCACGCACGTCTTATCTCATTGTGTGACGTCTAAAAAGGAAATATTGATGCTTTTTTGTTTTTATATTCGAGAGTTTTTGAATGCAGGAAAGACAAAAGGATCGCAACAAACAAACGCGTGGATCCAACCAGAACTCACCGGAAGCGAAAACATGGAATGTTGCAATATATCATAATTCTTTCTATAATTAAATTGTTATGCATAGAAGATGAGCAATTTAGGGAATAGGACAGGTATCTTTGGTTCTGTTAGTTGTTGATTCTTGATGGATGACGAGCCCTTACGTTGATATGCTCGGGGTGGGGGAGCTATCTCACATCACAGCATTTAATATTTGTTTTGTCAGCCCATGCCAGAGTTACAATGACTACTGATACAATTTATGGCGACTCGACTCGAGTAATGACGGGTAAATGACCCAACTCGAGTGAAAGTTAATAAGACTCGGGTCCCAAAATATGTTCAGGTCTCAAGAGTAAGCAGTGGTGTGACCCTATGGGGAAACCCAGAAGTAATTTAAAAATACCATAAAATGACCATTTCTCTTTTTTGATTTATGGTATTGATTATTGGTGACTCGGGTTTACTTGTGCTTAACTCGACTCGACTCGACCCAAGTCACAAAAATTAGTGACTCGTTACAACTCATTGTGTTCGTGTTATTGTCTAGAATTTTTTAAGTGTCTCGAAAAATAAGTTTAACTGCATGACTGCATAGCACTTGTTTTTCTCGTCATTAGTTGCTCGTTAATTCTCTATTCACAATAAATATGTCAATGTACATTTAACATATTTATTATTTATTGAAATGTCCATGATATGTCAACTGTTACCGTCAATGTCAGCATGAATAAATGCATTTCGTCGGTATACGATCTCGCTCATCAACCGCGTCTAACCATGAATCCATCGTTCGCGTGACATTAATGGACTGCAGCTGTACCAATACAGTCATTGCTCTAACTTGCCCCAAGAGGAGTTTTTGGACCGCTCGGATGCTCCTTTTCTGGGTCAATTAAATCATTATCATGACATTTATCTTTTCGTTACGGAGCAAAGGAAGTATTAGATGTTTGTTTTATTTCCTCTAAACAGTGATCAAGCCTTGTGTTGTATAGCAGAGACAACATGCAACATTTCCAAGGCGGACTCCCGCAGTTTTGTAAGGGGGGTGGCTGTTGGGCCCCACGCACGCCAAAACCACGGCAAGCGAGCCATCATGTACGACTGTCATGGCCTGATAAAACTCCTGTGGCATAGTACGTACGACTGGCAAAACACTGAGCAAGCTATGCATATGATATAGCTGAACCAACGTGCAAAGGAGTTTGGCTTTTTGAACATGGCAGACAAAATAGGAGGGTACTATCCAGTTTGTAAGTGTATTAAACGTCACTTCGGTTTAAACCACGCCCACTGCACACAGATAGAGCTACATAATGTTTCTAATTTTGGAAACAACCATTTTACGAAACATATTTTTGATGAAGTCTGTTTTATTAGATATCTTTTTCCAAGTGAATTTTTAGGGGATATATACATTGTCAGATTTAGATTCATTTCTCAGAAAAAACATATTTACAAAAAAGAAATGTCATAAAAATGAAAACCAAAAAAATCTTCAACTGAACTTGAAAAAATATATCTCGTAAAAAACAATTTGTTTCCAAAAATGGAAACAACGTTTCTACTTAGATCTTACTGTCGCAAACTGGAGAATATACAGCTCAAAAAACTCGTAAAAATCAAGCTGAAAAATAAACTTTTTTTAAATAAACGTATTCACCCTCATGTGAGGGTGTAAACACAGCGCAAAGTTTTTCAACTGTAAAGATTTCCACACAACTGCATGGGTCACAATTGAAGTTGTCAAACTGAAAAATATTAAATCATAATTAACTTCTTGGTGATGTGCATACTAGCATCTCAAGAATTTTGCAGGGGGAGGAGAGCACCTTTTTTTGGGGGGGGTTCTGATGATTGAGGAAAGAACTCGTAAGCAGCAAACTGATTAACTATTATACGTTGGAAGGGGAAGGTTATTTCCGAGGTATTTTCAAGCAGATTGGTAAATATGCATCCTCATTTTGTCTCTTTTTTTTCTCCCCCTTTTTTTGCTTAAGCTTTTTTCAGCCAGCAAAGCACCCCCTTCCCTCGCGACGCAGTTTTCCCCTTAAATTGAAGTAATTTTAGTCTCAAGTTTTGATTGTCTGACCAAAACAAACTCTGGTTATACTACATGTAGTTGCAATGCCACATTCCACGCCAGAAACTTACAAGCTCAGGCAGGAGAATGCCAAACAAATGAAAACTCCAAAGACTGGACACATGTAGATGGAAGGTTTTAAGGTTCTCTACACAAGTTCTTTGTGTTGTTTTAATTTCGATTAATTGAATTTAAGTGTAAACGTGACACGAAATAATGTTCACATGCCTGTGCACTTGCGAAGGCAATGGCAAGCAACATGAAGTGAAAAGGGGGCATTCAATGAATGGTCAGCGGAGTGTAACACGATTAAGTGCAGTTATCTACCACAAGAAGGAAAACCGTATAGAAAGTAACGTGTGGTATTTTACTGCAGAGAGGAAGCCATACAGCAGAAGTATTGTAATTCACTGCAATCCGGATGACAGTGGCTGCCGACTTGCAGGGGGGCTCAGTTTCCCGGAAGAGAAAGCAGCACAACGTTTATTTTTGGTTGGTTCTGTCACGGACTGAAAATGTGAACTGTCTTTTTCAGGGCATACCTGTAGACACCAGATCTGGAAACGCCACTACCGGGTATATGGAGCACCTTAAGAGTCGACATGGCTTGTAGAAGATACATACTATAAATGCCATCAGTGGTTTATCAAAAGGCAATAAAATAGCATTCTGTACATCGTCTCTGATTAAAAAGTTTCTAATTTGACAAATTTCTAATCAGTCATCGATACCTGGGACGAGATTGTGAATTGGGAACTCCCTATACTAGGTCTACTTCAATTGTTTTAAGGTGTGGTGTTCGGGTCGCAAAACGGCGCGTTTTCATTGGTCATCATGGTGTACAGACCATACAAACTCGACGGTGTCTGGTCGGCTTGGTAACCAAATTTGACACCGCTGACGCCACTCTGACCACTGTATTTGCATCCTTGTTCTTGGCCATTCTGCCAGGTGCAGGGGTAAGCTAAGGCGCTGCAGTCGTTGTTGATGCTGTCTGTGAAGTAGTCAATGGCCTTGAGATGCCCGCACTCGGCCTCCATCAGGTTTGGCCAGATGACACATCCGGGCATGTGGGTGCCATAGTTTGGATAGATGTCTACATGGCCCACCTGGCGGAGTGCAGACAGAAAAATAAATTGTGAACAGAATTACATAAAAGACATTCTCTGGTTTTGTGTTCGAGCAATCAAGATACCGTAGCATCAATCTAAAGACATCAAAATATCCAGAAATGGACATTAAAAAGACAACAAAAACCTCGGGCTTGGGCTCGAACCTTCAAGCCCCCCCCCCATTGCGCAACTTTATCTCACGTACGAGCATCGAGACGCATGTGCAGATTGTCCCCTTAAAATGGACTGTATTCATGTGTCGGTTGTCATTTTGAAAGTGAGCTGGGAGTAAAAATAACAGTAACGAAATAAACCCTCCTTGCAACTTCATGTCAGTTTGCTTTTAGAACAATTTTTGATAAATGATATCTAAACGTTTTAAGCCTCATTAAAAAATGAAAGTGCGGGTCTGAACCCCAATGCTTGGGTACAACCTCATGTAAATGTTCACAATGAATATGATGGATTCAGAGAACAAAATACGAAATGGCTTCCCCGTGAATACGGACGCACCCAATTAAATAGCCAATAAATATGTCTGCCGAGCTCATTAATGAAAGTTTTTCACTCAAGACATTCAAGAAGAGAGTCCTGAGATCTATAGAATCGGGAAAGTGAAGAAATATGGCGCCAATATCTCGTCTGGACTCAGGTTTCCAATTCTGAGCATTTGGATGCAACCGCCAGGTCCGAAAGTGGCACTATGCAGCCATTTTGCAGAGGGATACATTTTCAAATGCTTACTTTTCCAAGTTAAGGAAATATCCTTCGTTTTAGGGTGGTCTATTTAACGTCTCAAATCATCGGTCAACCATCACAGTTTTGTATGCCCCGAACACCTGTACGAGTTGTGAGTATTTTGAAGGATTGTGATCTGTCACCGGTGTGCCCATAGGTCTATTTTCTTTAATACTTAGGGCGTGCACCTTGTCATTAAAATTGATCAGCAGTCATGTACGTTTTGTGTACGATAAAACATCATTGTAATGCAGTAACTTTCTGTGGAAGTAAATATGAACATTTTTCAAGAATTTTCCAAACTTACCGGCTGGTATATGCCATACATTGAGCAATGGCTGGCGTCAACGAATTTGGCATCGGTCGGGTCAAGTCGGCAGCCTGTCTCATCGCCTTCGAATTCGGGTTCTGCGGGATCCATACCTAAAACGAAACATGGCAAACAGTCAGAACAAAATTGATGCAATTTGAAAAAAAAACCCGATTTCTTTGGATTGATGGCTAATCATTACCAGCGAAAATAACGACTGTGCAGATGTATAAACATGTCATGGCTTCTGGCTATGCTTCCTATAGATGTATACATACAGCCGTAGCCAGTTTATTCGACGATTGTTCCGACTCACGGCAGTGACGTGAATTTTATTTGAGAACATATTTTGAGAGAAAACCTTTTCCTCGGTGCTAAAGGTGAGCTGCCATTTTCGGAAACCACAAAATAACCAAAGAGACAAAAATTTAGGATACACAAAATATCCAAAGTTTTGATTTAATCAAATTAAAATTAATGAACCATGGACACAATCATTCTTATATATCTGCGAATGGTGAATTAATTAAATGTATGGTCATATGAAAATGCTTCATATGGAAAAAAATTTTTCTTTTGGAAAAAAATCTTTACAGATGCTTTCAATACAAAACACTGACTACCCTTTTGCATGATCGAGCGGTCAAATTTTGCAGAAAGTTCTTTTTTTTGGCAATAAATTTTGCCTAAAAGTGCAGACTTTCCCTCATCGTTGTTACAATGGGAAGCATTGTCTAAGTGTGTACAGCAGTATAAATTATATTCTAATATTTACAGGAATTTTTTTTCAACACCGTTTGTGAATCATTCTTTTAGTTTTGTATTCACTGGCAGTTAAAGTAATCTACCGAAGTCCACTGCTTGACAAAAAAGCGCAATAGCAAAAGAAACGTTTGCATTTGCTTTGTCAGTAACAATAGAGTCTTTGTTTGCAGTGTTCGGGACTATACTTACCTGAGATGCGTCCAATTTTACCACCAAACTCTTCGCCAACATACCCGGCCATCTGACCGCCCAGACTGTGTCCGATAATGTGCACGTCATCGAGGTCAAATTCCGAAAACGAAGACTGCATCTTCTTGATAAGGTTGGCGATTTGGCGGGCCACCACTCGAATGTTCTGCCGTGCCTGGCAGTAGCCGCTAACAATAAAACCTGCAGTAGCTCCCTTTTCCCAATCTACGCCGATCACGTTGAAGTCACCCTGAAAAGAATAAATGTTCGTTTTTTTGTTTACAGTGCCTTGGTTCTGTGTGCAAACCACAAGACCAAAACATATTATACGCGGTAAGCAGAATCGTATTTTTTTTTTTTTTGCAGCTTGACAACAAGCTTGCTAATGAGATTTTATATGATGCCTCTAGGTCTAAAAATGCATGAGGGGGGATTTTACCCACATTTATTGAAGTCAACCCTGCATCTGCAGCGTTACATTCCCTCGTTGGGAAACCTAAAAATAATCTTTCAACTTTTTATGCATTATTAACAAAATGATAAAGGTTGCACGAGAACAGTAATCTTAGCCTTGATTCACTTTATGACACATCTCAGGTAATATTGAAGGAAAGGTCCAGCATTTGTTTCAATACAATTACTATTATTTTAAAGGAACCAGGAAATAGAAATATTTTTATACATTTTACGAAAAACCCTTTAAATTGCATCTTTGGGTTCTAGTTAACCTTATTTTAAATTTTGGTTTGTCATTTTAACCCATGTTTTGATGCCTTTTGGTTTTATGCTAATGCATATTTGCATATTCATGTCAGGACTATGACGTCATCCAAGGCACTGAATCTCAATGTTGAACTGATTTGTGCACAGAAAATTTATAGATTTTTTTAACCACTGCTAGGGCCTATGGCAGATTTCATTTTCTTTGGCAATTTACTGCTATGTAAGTATGGCAATAATGCAGCAAAAACAGAAATGTTCCCAGATAGCAAATTTGGGGTTCACAGTTTGAACAGGAAAAAATGCAACCTGCACCGTGTCTTCCAGGATTTACATCAATGCAAAAGCGCCCTCACTTGCCCAGAAATGCTTGGTCAATTTTTAATGTTTGAAAAAAAGCACCGTTCAATTCACGTAACTCAAAAAAGATGTCAAACAGTCTTCATACATGGTAGAAGAGTACAGAGATACACAAAAAGTGATTCTAAGAGAATTTCATTTCCTGGATTCTTTAAAATCCCTACATTAACTGGAAAAAAGTCATGAACACTCTCCGTCAGAACAAAATCACTCATTACCTGCTTGGTTTGAAAAGTGTTTTGCTTGCACCATCAGAAAGATGGCAGCGGAATATAATGTCCTTTGGCTGTGTGGTCGCAAAGTGAATTTGGATGAGTTAAGCAGCAGTACAACACGTGATACGAACCCGCTGTTGTCAAGGATTTATTCGCTGTGATAAAATTAAATCGTATGGGGTCTGACCTTTTTGAGTAGTTCATCTTTCAAATTCAGCACCCAATCTTTTTCCCCGTTGTCTGTGAATCCGTGAATGACGAACTTGGTAGGACTGGAGGCAGAGAAGGGATACCCCAGTGATGACGTCGATATCACCGTCGGTGATGACGGGTTCTTGCTGGTGTACAGGCGAAACGTGGTACCTATTTCGTCCGGATGCTTTGGTGGGAATCCCCTGCGATGACACCATAGATCAGCTGTGAAGGTGCCTACCTCTGGGTAGGTGACAGGGGAAAAGCTGCCTGTGCACTCGTGATCGGGATCAACTGGAAAGAAATCAACACGAAGAAACACACCAGGTTGCATAACAGTGAAGTGGAAAACATTATGAGCGAGGCATGAAAAACTTGGGTATACTCGAAACATTTTTTTTTTAATAAATGATTTTATTTGATCCGATTCGAGTAATTTTTGGCAACTCTGCAGTTGATGACTCGAGCCAATGCAAGATAATTGTTTGACTCGATTGGAATTTTTCACAATCTAATGACAATGAATATCAAAAAACGCAGGTAAATCCGCAGCAACTGGAATCAAAACAGGTTTTCAGTCCTAAGGTGGGCTGCCACACAGCTGTTCCACGTCTTGTACTCTGGTTTTGACGAGACATGAACATCTCCCTTATCCTGAAATTAAGCCTAAGTTTTGGTTGGAGTTGATGCACTGCACTGCACGTAGTTGGCTTTTTTCGGCCCTTGCTTAAATCTTTCATGCTGCCCTCTCCCAAAAATTGTACATTAGACATTTTCTACATTTATTCTAATTGTTAACATCGTCGTGAACAACGCGTCTGAATCTTATGCTAACAACATCAGAACTTTCTTCAAAGAAAAATGTATAAAGCATCAAAGTTGCACTCACGTTCAGAGATATTACAGCCACAATTGTCAAACAACCGTTCATCTGTTAAGAGGAAACAAGATTAATTTCGTAAGTCAATGTCGGCTTTATAATGTTAACTATATGTATACACGGTTGATCCACTATTCACGTGAATACCTTATACCGTCTAAAGACTAATCAACGTAAAATACAGGGTTATGTAGAGTGTTTCATATTTGAAAGCTTCTACTATTTGTATGACTTATTTTACAAAAATAAGACTACAGATAAGAAAACAAAGTGTATTAGAACTTCGAAGGCGCGCTCGCGTAAGGCCATATGAATTCCAACCTTTTTTCACAGGTTTCGATAACCTTTTTGACAAGGGTTTTGATACATACCAAAGACACTGTAGCCATACCTATATGTTGGTCGAGAGCTCGTTACGTGGCGGGTTTTTCAATAACCAACTCAGGAGAATAGTCGTTGCTAATGTCCCCCGCCTTCAGCTCGGGTATTATCAGCGACCATTCTCCCGAGCCGACCAAAAACTATCGGTCAAGCGCACATTAATTTCCCTAATGAATATTTAAAGTTTTTCCATTGTATTCTGAGAAAATGGAAAGGTTAAACAGTATAAATTGCAAAGTCACCTGCTTCGTTGGCAGAGGAAACAAGGAAACCTAGAGCCAAAACCAAAATGTTGGCAACGATACCCATGGTGTGGAGCAGTTGTACTCAGGAAAGGATGCGAGTCGGCTTTACTTGCAGGATGAAGGTATCTTACTAAGGGAACGCAGACATTTAAAGGAAAATAGAGCTGGCTTCATCACCTCATTGCTTCGTATTTATCGATTAATTCTGTAATTCGTTTTGTGAGAAATAAAGCGTTATCAGGTTATATTCTGATAGGTTTGACAATCAACGACTTCCGCTTAGACCGGGACAAATTTGTTTTGGACGAACAACTGGCCATGCTGTTGTCAGCAAATGGTAAGGCAAAAGGATATCAAGAGAACTGCGCGCTTTGTATGGACGCTATCGCTGGCTTGTATTTATATCTAAAGATAAGGACTTCCCGTCCTCCATGGTGTACTTGCATAGCAGTTAAAGCTGATGTGTATTATTTTTGCCTATACACGTCTCAATCCCATTCTCAGACACATAATTTGCTTGACAATACTAGAAAAGGAAAATAAGATTTTGTGGGGTTAGGGAATTCGTGAGGTTTATGGGTGTAATCAATTTCAGTATATACCAAACCTACGAACTCAATAAGCAATGCGCGTTGTCACATCTTATCTCATAGCGTACAACGTACACGTACATGTATATCAAACTTACATCTATATACGATTACGCCCTCTTTGAATCGAGAGGCGGAAGAATAATTGAAACAGACAAGCACGTGGATTGATTCTAACCGGAACTCGACGAAAGATAATGTACTATGCAAAACGTCTGAAATAATTATCCAAAGATAACGGGGTCATTGCCATGGTATTTAGTGTCTGTGCTACAGAGTTCGACAATTAGCAGATGTTTGTTTTATAATTTCGAAACAGTAATTAAGTCCTGTGTTGGATTTCAGAGAAAAAATGCAATTTATTTCCACAATATTACATTAAGAAAACATTATCAAACAGCTTAATTCTTTCAAGAATATTAAACCCGGCACGTTCCAAATTTATAAACAGATTTTTACAATGTTTCTTTACACGTAAGTCGAAAGCACTATGCATCATTTCACCACTGAACAGGGGATTTTACATAACGTAGAAAAATTTCCGTACAAAAATAACGAAATGCAAGGCTCATTTTCGAGCATGCGATAACATTGGTTTGTACCCATTTCCCCCTTTTTTCTCTTGTAAAATAAGAATAATGTGCCTTGTGTGTGTGCCAAAAAGACTTCCAGACTGGCAGAATGGGTTCTGAATCGAGACGATAAGAATTTGCTCATGTCCACTTTGGCCAAGAAGCAAATCTGTAGGCCTACAGGAAAGACAGAAAGAAATGCCTGTTCCGATACACATACATTTGAGGTCTTTTAACCTATTTTGTTGTGAAATTTGTGTCTTAACGACTTTTTGGTCACAATGACCAATATACTTTCAGTTAGTTTTTACCACTTTTTACAAACATTCAACCATTTTAAGGTAAGTTTTACAACGCATTTTTGGTCAAACGCTACCAATATGAAATTGTAACACATTCTCAACAGCGGTGGGTCATCTTAATTATAGATTTGGTTTTCATCCCCACTTTAATCATAATTACTTGGTGGAACCATTTTCTTAGTGAATAATACCATTTTTGGTTGGTTCATCCAATCAATAATATCTTCCCACCAATAAGATTTGCTTGAACCCCTATCGTTTGCCGCGTTCTACAAATGAATGCATTAAACATCCCAACTGCCCTATGAAGACGGGCAATTGTTTTCCTTGTCAAAGCGAAGCACCATCGGACACGAAATGGACTACAAAAAACATATCCATGTACATGTATAGGCTACTGTTGAACGATTTTATCTCACTGTTATAGCGTTAGGTTTGAGGCTGAAACTGTGAGATTCTAAACCGTAAAAGACGAAACGGCACTTCAATTAAAGGCTCGCTCTAACTGCATTATTATTCCGTAGTAAAATGAAGAGAAATGACCCGACGATGATAAAGTACCGAGTTAGATATGGTCGCAGCTATCCAATGTTTGTCTTGCGTCTTAATTCCTACCTTTTAGTTGCGTCATCAAATGTTAAATCTTCCCCAAATCATTTCTTCATTGTCCAGTGAAAATCGTGTAATATACTGTTCCTTATGATTGTGAAACTATACTCAGGCGCAAGGCGCGGCATGCACAAGTTCCACACACTGGTTGAAGTCACGTTCTGAGGGCGCTTTTAAAATAAACGAAACTGACGAGGTTAAGACCAAATCATTGGTCAGAGTAGCCAATACACGTACCGGTATATCGCAACCCATAAACATGTTAACAAGTCATGCAACCGATTGGCTCAGATGTGACTAAATTACTGGTTATAATAGTATCAGTAACCAAACCGAATTAACTTAGTTTAACCACTTTGTTTGGAGAGTGTCGGTTTGACAATCAACGACTTTCATTTGGACAGGGACAAATTATCTTTGGACGAATAACTGGCCATGCTGCTGTCAGCCAATGGTAAGACCAAAGGATATCGAGAGAACTGGATTACATGGACATTATCGCTGGCTTAAAAGGATTTCTGCATCGTCCATGGTGTATTTGCACAAAGGTTAAAAATGGAACGTTTTTTCCAAACACGTTTCGATCTCATACGCTTGACAAAATGCAAAAGAAAATGGGGTTGGTGAATTGAATGACTAAAGGTCCACGGTCATAAGATTAATATAATGACCCTGTGTATGTGCGATAAAGACTTTGGTAGTAAATTGAGACATAGACTTCAGCTCGTGTCCACTTTGGTCCAAAAGCAAATTTGAAGGGAAAGACAGACATAAATGCTAACAAAGTAATACGTAAATAAACAATGAAAGACTCAGTAGGTCCAGCAATATCCAGTGCAGCATTTGGATATGGCCTGCCTTATACGATAAAATGCGTAAAATATCAAGTGGATAACAGGTGCCGCCACCAACACAACAATGGCCATAACGATGCCGCTGGTAACCGGCGCAGCACCCCAGTCAAGAAAACCTACGTAGATCGCTGTGCCACCAAATTCATTTAATCCACCCACGCCTTCGTAGATGAGCGTGAACACAAAGTACACGAAGGCAAGGGCTGATGGGTAGACCAGGTGGAGAACTCGCATGGGCGTGGCGGCTAGGATCAAGTCCAAGACTATGATAATGAGGTTGACCCCGTGAATGTGGAAGTTGTAGGCGTGTAGGGTGCTGGTGGCAGGATCAAAGACCAGGATGTAGAAATTGAGAGCCACGAAAAGTCCAGAGGAGTACACGACGGCCTGCAAGAACCACGCGAATTTGAAGTACCATGGGAGAGGTGGAAGGGGCTCCGCACCGTCATCACCGCTGACAGGAACACCTCGAGGTGAATGCACTGATGACATGGGTATCATTCCTTCCGGATCTGATTCAGGATCTATATCCGCTCCCACTGTTCCAACAGAAAAATACAGACAACGAATACATAAAATAACAAAAAATACAGACAACGAATACATAAAATAACAAAAAATACAGACAATGAATACATAAAATAACAAAAAATACAGACAATGAATACACAAAATAACAAAAAATACAGACAATGAATACATAAAATAACTAGAAAACATCCCCATTTTTTCTTTTACCTGACTCGAAATTGGGGCTTATCCAAGGCAGCTCATTAGTAGAGGGAGGGATTAAAGAGGTTTCCTATTTGAATCTCAATACGGGCGATTCACAATAATAGTAATAGTGTTCATTTAAAAAACGCTTTTCATACCAAGCATCTCAAAGCGCAGTACAATATAGATATTAAAACAATAAAATAAAAACATACACAATTATAACTAAATATTAAAATTAGTTAAAGTACTCATTAAAAAGGAAGGTTTTCACAATATCCAAGAGTTTGCGATGCGTTGAGCAATCACAACGCACGAAATCTGTCAATCCTTTCCAAACGCGCACTGGGTCGACAGTTTTCGCACTTTGTGACAGGCCATAGCGTTGCAAACTCTTGGAGGCGCACTTTTCTGAAACGCTCGTATTACGCAGAGTTTCAATACAACAGGTGAGCAAACATGCATTCAAACACGTGTCAAAACAAGAATACAGATGCTGATTACATGGACCTGTAAAGTGCAAAGATTTATCAAGGACAAAAAATATTTACAGAGTAGAAACACCATACAAGCCTACTCGTTACGTAGTATATAGTTTCTGACTGGTTCCCGGCTGATTTTGGGGGCTTAGCAAATATCTGCTATGCAATCAAATACTGCAAAGCTGCTCTATAAATTAGACCACGGTGATGCTATTAACTTTGTTTTTCAAAAATGTTACCATACTGTGGCTCCCACTCCAGTTAATTTCTGTCGGTTCCCCTCTTTGATATGATTCTACCTGCGCATACGGTAAAGTTGTAAGAAATCATACAGTTTCTAACCTGAGGTATTCTTGCAGCCATGTGTAGCGTGGTAGTAGACGTTGCCAACAGCCATAGTTATAAGATACAGGGTGAGAACGAGGAAAGACCAGTTGGACACGTAGATAAGCCATTTGGCTTTGACATCGGCTTGTCTGTAGAAAGGCGGTTCTCCCCAAACACTAAGAATGAGACCAAGCCATACAGTGAGGTAGACGGCTACGAAACAACGGTAGAGGGTCCACAGGACGGGTGCTAGCGGCCACTTGGCCTTCGGAGGAGAGAGAGACAGATAATAAAAGAAGCTATTAGGTTAAACTTGGAAATTTTCCATTATGGTAACCAAAACATGCACTTTCTGCACTTGAGAAGGGCCTGCCTCCATTCAGAAATGGTTCGTAACGCTGTGTGACCTATACCGACTGGAACCCGCGTATCCCCGGTGCATGTGCACACCAGTTCGCGCCTTCGCGTGCTATGGAGGAAAGGAATCACAACTATCATTTTTGTCCGAATGTCAAAAAACAAACTTTGCCAAGGGCTACGGCATTCAGGGCTTGTCAGATTTGTCTGTGTCGCTGTTAAGGAAAATCCTTTCGACAGGGACCATGTATCTCATCGTACACACAGGTGCATCCCTATCGTCTACTCATTTATAAAGCTTCATAAGCTGTCATGGGGATCGAGCCATAACGATCTTAATCTCATCAGCCCAGTGAGGATGGATGGTGTTCATCTTATTGGCCGCTTAAGCAGGCACGTAGGCATATATGGCACTCTAATATCAATATTGTATGCCTAATCTAACCAGAGGCGAACCCAAACTCGATTATTTTCAAGGTTCAGTCGCTCGTACTCGTAGCGACACTGTCAAGATGCAGCATTCAGAACCGGGTCTGTCATGTGCATTAATTGGCCTGCTTAAATTTGGTCTGAGCCGCAATGGTTAAAGTTGACTCCTGCTGGCTCTAGCTCGGGTGGCGCGCTTTTGATGCATCGTGTAATATTAAAAGAATCAAATTAAGGCCAGGCATCTGATGCGCAAATCATCATAAACACCAACACCACAAATGAGATGAACTCGGCATATGAGACAGTTACGATCTATACGTTCGTGCGATCGCGAATCCCCCCATCCTAAGCATTAAAATAACTGAATATGTATATAATAATGAATAACACACTCTGTATGTAACTATGGGCATTTTTGTTTGTTTTGCCAATGAAGTGAAAAAAATTTCTGTGTCAATGTCTAAGGTTTCAAAATCAGTTGTCCCCGAAAAACTTTCATCGTTGTTCCAATTCAAGAAGAGTTGACAGAAACGTGTTACCAGTTCATATGCCCTTATCAGAGGTTCTAAACCATATAAATCTGTACTCTCACATTTAAACAAGATAAAAGCTCTCGAATAACGTCATCGATTCAACGAGCGAGTGCGTGTGCGTTACTACGGAGACGAGCTACCAGCAAACATGTACAGGCACAGTACAGGTTGTACACGTACGTGCGAACTGCGTCCTTGACAGAAGGACGAGCCGGACGCGGACAAAAGACCGACCCACACGCAGTCATGGAGTTACAGTACCATCGATCCCAGTCAAGGATCGAATTGAAAAGGGAACGTCAAATTGAAAACAGAGTCGATGTCTGTCAGACCAAGGACAAAATGAACAGAAGACAGATGGGGGAAAGTAGCGGCTAAAGCATTTGAAAATCCAGGTATCTGCGCGTTAATATACATGTAATTGCTGATACGAATTATTAGTCCCTGTAGAAATACTATGAAAGATCCCACAAGTACAAAAGACCCATGCAACGTGTTCGGATAAGTGTAATTTAAAACGTTAAGAGAATCATTTCAATTGATATGAAAATCTGATGCCCGTTGAAAGAAACCGTGGAATTCTAGCCCTTTAGTTTACTTTGGAACGTCCAAATAAACCACACGAATATTATGACGAATATGCATAAAAAGCTTTTCAAAGTCACGCTTGACCCCGAGTGATGAAAACCAATTATAGGCCTATTCATCGCTGCTGCGATGCAACTATAAACACGATGTGTGTTAAAATGGCGCTGATATGGCAACGTGCATTATCAATATTTACGCTTCAATTCAGGGCACAAAATGTCCATGGGCACCAAGTCGAACACAGTTCAATGGTATAGGCACAGTTTCGGTCATCTCATTCCAATAGGATTCGATTTTGTGTAAATATGTGGCAATAAACCAACGAACAACCCTATCTGGGAAATGTTTTCAGTGATCTAATTTTGGTTTCACAATTATTAACAGAAAAACCTATAAGATGAACAATGTTTTTCCTGATCGAAATCAAAGCGGCAGCGCTTTAAATGTTTAAAACAGTGCACTCTGCGTTCTCTTTAACCCTGAAGGGGTGAACAGGGTTTAACAGCTTTAAAATAGAGAAAAATTGGCACATGGCAGGTAATTTTTAGCTGACCGTAACCACCCACAATTCAAACGACACTTTGACCAAACTGATACACTAACTGTTCCACTTCCTATTACAGATTATAGAACTTTCTCCCCTAAATTTATTCACAGGATCTACAATTCAGGCTTTACGGGCCGCGGGAGGCAATGGGCTCCCAGGACTCAATGACTCAGATTATCTGTCTTTTGAGATCTAGGTCCCATTTCCTTTTGGAGTGTTTCTCCAAGCAGGATCACTGTGGGCTTGTGTGAAGGTATACAGACTTCAAGCGTAAAATGACCTTTTGGAAACTTCCCTTGGTGCCATTGAAACATTTCCGATTTCCAATGTCGCTCCTGCTTTTATAAGCTATTGCCTGGGCAAGGAAAGACGAAGAGAAAGATGGAAGGCATACAACGTTGAATATTGTCGCTGACAAAATCAGAATACCCGGTTTAAATCATGTTTAACCACTCTATGAATAAAAAATAAGCCCCCCCCAAAAAAAAAAAAGTCACCCAGCTTTTTGAACTGCATGTGAAACAATCATTACGTACTAACTTCAAGTGTTTACAAAAACAGCACTCTAAAAAGATTCAGATTGATTATAACAACCAAAAATTATTAGAAGCAACCCATTACATGTACATGAAATGGTCGATCTGTGTCAACCAGTCGGGTTGGATGGATTCATTAAACATTTTGTATAGTGAACCAGCATGCCTCAACCATGCATGATCGTGTTGCATGAATTACCATGACACGCATCACGAGCCACAATCATGACCCACGAATAAAGAAATGACCACGATGCGAGGACACATTATTCATGCCTGGCTCATGTTGCATCGCACTGATCGCAATACCACAGCGCTTTCTCAGCCTCGTGCTTTCTTCTCCAGGTGGACAACAATTGGGTGAATTCCGGAAGACTTAGCAGAAGGATCTCTGATCGTACATGGCTTCAGGGTTGGTCGGGTATTACCGATTTGGCCACGGAAAAAACTAACTCTTTGGTTTCATTCGATCTGATCGTGGCTATCAGGGGAAAGTACATAGCTGTTATTTGTGACCGATATCAAGTCATAATTCAAGTGAAAGCGAAAGTAAATCAAATTTCAGGACATCATTTAGGCCTACCACAGAGCCACTGTATAACGTCCGGTGTCATCCTACCGAATTCAGTCGCTCTGAAATTGATGAAGCGGCCGAGATGATCACTAAGGGTCTTAAGTTCCTTCTTACCTGGGGTAGAACAAATCGCTGCACAGGTTCGCCGCTGAATCCTAAATAATGGCACATCTTTTTACAGCACTTTGACGCCATGATTACACCGTTGAGTTGGAAACTGAGTGTTTGCCAGTTGATACATGTACTCTGACACGTCCGCTTCAGCAACTGTAGTCGTCTCACCTGGGTGGGGAGAAAAATTGAACTGACCTTAATATAACGAGTCTGCCGGGCCTTACACGTGACCTTCTCACGACTAAAACGCGGCGTGATTAACAGTGAGTCTATGGATGGGCATTATACATTGGTGACGTGGTCGATGCATTGAACCAAAGTGGCCTTGCCCGCGGGGTGAAGCAACGAATTTCCTGTGTTTACGTACATGTACTTGATCCCCTCCCGTGGTACAAATGGGTGCGTTCAGGCACCCTTGCAGTGGTCACGCGGACACGAAGCAAAACCGTTCTCGAGGCTTGGGCAAGTCAATATTTCGTCGGTTATTGGTTGAATTCATGTCGAATAATTAGTTAAGGCCAGCCCATACTTTGCGCGAAATGTTATAACGAAGCCAATTCTTCAGGAAGATCACGCCACAGGGAAACAAAATTTGATGTTTGTGAAATTCGCTCCACCTTCGCATGAGGTACGCGGAACTGCGGCTCATAATACAAGGTCAATCAGTAATCAGCACTTAAAGCAATTGAAAGATCCTACACACGCTGACTTGCACGTGATGTGCCTTGATCCTGGCCGACACTGCCTTCAAAAATATACATGTACCAAAGCACAAGATTATCAAGTCGAGACGTGCGGCTTACCGTTTTGAAGGATGTCCCGCGTGCAATTCATGGTACAGTGCCCTTTATGACTGAATCGCGTATGGCAAAGCCAGCAAAATGCCATAGAACGACGCACTGCTCCCCACAAGTCGAATAACAGGATAATTTTCTATTTGTACAAAGTCATGAACCATCTGGCTGCAGTGGACTGAGATAAGGTCATTGGGTAAAAACAACTTCCTGAGCAGTTTCGATTCTTGAGTGACAGACCACGAATAATTAAGTTTCTATTTCTTGCAGCCCAATACGATGGCCCAATAGACATTATGGTTATGATTTTTTCAATAAATTTCGATCTTCCAAAATGAACACAAATATTTATACCGTGTGAGAAATTCGCGGTGCAACGTCAGGTTATCAATAGACAAAAAACTGACAACTGCAGTGTGATGTCCCGTCTGGAACTTTGAACCCGGTCAGATAACTAAATGTTTATCAGCGCCGCAATCAGGAAAGTGGAGGGGAAGTAAAACCTCTATTTTCCCGAGGGACCTTTGATTGATGACATCTAAGGAATTAACTGCCTGTAATAGCTTCATGAAAAATCCATGGAAACGGACACACAAAGTGCCGTCTTGTACATGCGTAAATAATCAACGTCAATAAATGTCCCGACCGGAGATCCCCTATTTATTTCATAATGTGTGCACTGAAAATAAAATCTGGCTAAATTTAACTAAGTGACGGACTGCATATTGATCTATACCCAGTCTCCCTCAACACATCATATTCAAGATCATGCTGCCATGCCGGTGTTTCCGACCATATTATTATTATGGTTTGCTGGCTACGAACAGAGCTATTTATAGAGAGACTTGTGACATGAGCATCTCAGTTGTTGGAACCAAAATGGTAAATTATGCGTCAGCGCACTTGGATAATAAGCACACGGCAGGTGCATGCTGTACTGCACACATACCATTTTGGTTCCACAAGCCAATGTTGGCACTACTGTCTCAATATAAAACTCTGGCTACGAAGACTCACGTTTGCCATCAAAAAGTAAAGTATATTTTTCCAAATTCGTTTTTAGGAAAAATATTTTGGTTTCAAAAGTTCGTTTTTACCAAATGTATTTTTAAAGTTCGTTTCTATAGAAGCCCCCTTTTTAAAAAAAAACGATGTTTCTAGTTTTTTTGAACATCGTTTGCTCGCGATTTGTCTTTCAAACATGGTTGGCATGTAAACATGTTTCCAAACTGATAGTAAACAGTGAAACAGATCCCAGCTGGGAGTTCTTATAAAATGGTATAGAGTCTGAAAGTCAAAGGTCACGCAGCGAGCTTCCGGAACGCTCACGGCTCGGCCCACATTACATAAGGAGATTGTATAGGGAATCACTCTATCACATTTTATAATTTCTAGAAGACTGGTTATTGGAGAATGTGTAACGTTGTAAAGATTTGCCAACCAACAGTTAATGGGTCATAACTGGCAACTCTTGTCAGCAAAGGCTCTATGATAAGTCTTTGAATTTTCCACAAATGCCAGATTATTCTGTAAAATTATTCTTGAAAACTGTAAATTACTAAACCTTTTCCGGTCTCACATATCACATTAATATAAACACTACCATAAGTAATTCCGTCACTTTTCCTCTGCGTGCGAGTACACCAAGTTGCACTGGCTATCGTGGATTTCAGATTTTTGGAAGTGAGAGCTTGATCGTGGCAGAGTGTTTTTCTTTCAGGTCAGACAATAATTTCAGATTCTAAAAACGAATGTATCCTGGATTCCTGGTAAACATTTTACAAAGGCCTTTTTCGGAGTTGATTTTTTAAATAAGTTAATAACCCCAAAAAATTGAAAATTCTAATTTGTTTGTTCGTAATATTTTCCCATTTCAGGGTTCAGGAAGCGCCACCAGGGATCATCTTTAAGCCTCACCGAGCGACAGATATCTCACGGAATGACTAACGGCAAACTTGAGGGCGCTCTTTCAACTACTGACAATGGCATGTATTTCATTTGGAGGTTATGGGAACATGCCTTATCTTGCACACCACTCTGCTCTTTTAAAATGCAAGAAAACTATTTGAAATTCCTTCATGATTAACAAAACTGAAAGCGCATTATTTCAAATTCAAAATTTTCAATGGTTTCGTGCTGTGGTTGACGTCAGTTTTTTATAAACTGCAAATCAAATATGATTTGTTAGTTGAAAATGTTCTTACTGTGAATAAAACAACAACAAAAGAAAATTTAAGAAGGCAAATAATGAACATGTCCGCAATTTTGGTCGTAACATAGCTCAATCCATCGGAAGTTTTTCCTGGGAAAAGATATCACTTTTTTTGCTCTTAAATACACAAATTGGTCATTTATGGGTATGTGGAGTAGGGCACAGAGGAGATATAACAAAAGACAAGATCTGGGCCCTGTACATTTTAAAGCCTTGTAACTCCTTAATGACACCATTGGTGGGAAAAAAGCCTAACTCAAAAAGATAACTATTACAGCTGTACAAGAAGTCCACGTTCCCAAATGAAAATTTGTTCTATTAATTTTTATTGAAGGGTTTTGATTTGCTCAAGCAGCAAATGCCTTCGACTGAGGTAAATTTACGAAAGAGAATGATTCACAAATTTACAATAAGATTCAGATATGGGGTCAGTTTAAAAAAAAAATCTGTTCTTTCGAGATTGCAGCGAGTAAGTAATGTGTATGTAGATTGCAACGATTTGGGGCTTTTTTGGAGAACAATTTTTACCAAACCAATTACCGCGGCTTGGCACGAAGTCTAAAGAAATTCTTCCCAACAGTAGACAGACATGACAGAGGGCGCTATAACTGCTCTCTGGAAATTTCAGACGGCGGTCCGCTGACTAGTACAGTATAGTAACGTTGTGGTGACCAATATCATGCAATCTAGCCGTGTGCTAGTGATCTGGGCTGGTCAAATCTCCGCTGAAGCCTTCGCTCATTTGCAAGTAAAATACCTACCTACCTACCTGCAGACAACTAATGCAGATCCTATTGATGCATGAGTATTCCATGACTTTTACAGCAGCTTCCCGAGTCAGTCCCAGTCTTCACATGTGTGAAATCGGCGAATTTCGTGGAGGATAATTCACGTTGTGGTGCAACAAGTGATGTCGGACATGTTGGAATGTTGGGTCTGTTGACCTCGGCTACATGTAGTTGGTGTCTTACATCGTAATAAAAACATTATCATGTCAACGTGAGAAAAGCTCGGCTTATTTTGCATTTAACTGTTTGGTGTGAACAGAGAGAAATCATGGAGGTTTACGAGGCTAAATATGACTATGTGAAAGAACGAGATGATGTTCTGAGCTTTACTAAAGGCGAGAAATTCTACATCACCAACAAGACCAATGACAAGTGGTGGGCCGCTAAGAAGATTGATGACAACACAATAGGTTACGTACCGTCGATTTATCTCAAGGTAGGCGTGGCGTTCAGAATTCACATGGCTGTAGTTGCTATTTTACTGTTATTTAATCAATGACAAAAGAAAGCTTTCTGATGTTTTCAGCTGAATCTTTGTCATAGATCATTTGTTTTTTTTCATTTCCAGTGAATTTTTGTGTAAGAGTTTCATTCGTGGATATCACTTGAGGCCTTGTGCACAAACCTAAGGGGCTGGCCTGAAATTCTTTAGTATTTTCCAAGTAAATGTTTCAATATTTTCTTGCTAAATTTGACTTTTTCGGACATGTTAAAACTTTCTGAGAAAAGAGAGTTCCGTCACTTGGCACCCTGCAAACAAACTCTACAAGCCTAGTCTGAAAAATTAAATAAAGTAAATGATTTAAATATTTTCATTATTAAATTTGAATTTTGGGGCCCTGTTATTACTTTCTGGTGGCTTATACACCAAAGGAAAGTAAGTAATGCCCATACATGTATATTGACTTCTAACCAACAAAGACATGCCACTTTGTTGCTTTTGCACAGTAGTCATGGTAGTGTCTATAACTTAGTCCAGAAAGTCATTTGGTCAAGAGTTCCATATCCAGACAGTACACACCAACAAACATAAATTCCTCCTCACCTCGTGTTTTTGTTAAAAACAAGTTCATTTAGCTTGGCAAAGACTGTAATTTGGGAAAAGTTATTTAGCTCATGCAGTAGATGTCCTCATACATGTATTTGCAAAACTTGCTAGTGTTTATAAAACTCAAGAATCGTAGTGGCTGGATACAGAACTCTTTCCATCATTTTGAATTGATGAAGTGCACGATGTATGTGTACATATATGCAGTCATCCTCCAATAAAACATAAATTTGACCTACATGTAAATGTTCTTAGGCCTTGAACCTGTACTTTCAAAACAAATATTCTTTGCTTGACTGAGTCAAATTGAGAGGAAGAAAGTGATGTTAGCATTTGGCACGCTTTCCAAGCTTCAGACATTTGGCTAAAGAGAAGTGAAAGCATTCTGGAGACCTTATATGATTTCTACTTAAATCCAGCTTGAGTAAATTACCCTGAAAGTTTATCACAACTCTGACCATATTATTGCTCAATACATAGATATCCATTAATTTTAGTGCATGATGTACTTGTAACTTAGACCCAAAGAGATGAGATACATGTGCATGTACAGAAAACTCAAGCAGGGACAAATACACTACAGTCTTTTCCAGACCATGGGAAAGTTAACTTTTCTTTGGTTTGGTTTATCAAATTCCTCCACAGTAGCCATTCACTGGTGTAGAATGGGTTAAATACATGTATGAGCTTGGTGAGCCAATTTAAGAACGGTAAAGCCTACTCAAGATTTGATTGGCACATGCGCCAGTTCACCCAAATACAAATTGCACCATGATTAATGATGTAAATGTGTGCCTTACAATCTTTATCCAATGAACGACAACCTTGTGGTCACGTGTGAATGATACTAAATTCTATCCCATAATTCTTAGCCTGTATAAAAGATTTCTGTCAGGCTTCTTGCACCACTACAGTAACTTAACCTGTCTTGGTAACTTTCTTCTCTCCAGCCCTCAACAGAAAGAATCATCCGAAAACTTGTGCCGGAAGTAAGGCGAGACACGGTAAGTTTGGATCCTGATTAAGCCGAGTAGGAGTTTCTCATTTAGGTTTTTCAAATGGGAGATGTTGTTTCAATTCTTCTTTACTGACTTGCTGGTTGGATTTCCTGAACTCTTTTGCTGTGTCTAAAGTACGTAAGGGACTTTAACCTCCCCCAGTTGCATGATAGCCACATCTACATGTATTGTTAGGAAATAACCAGCCAAATTATTTTTGAATTTCGGGACTAATTATTGTACCACTATACGTATGTTTGTTGCACATTTCTGTGTTTTAACCTGAGTGAATTTGGTACAAGAATAGTGGTGTCATTATCACACTCTGTGCTTGGTGGCTCAAAATGAATCTTTGCATAGTTCTTAGTCCGTTTATACACGAGTACCTTTATTTTGCCTTCACCTTAGTACTTGTTTTTGTTCTAGTTTACTTGAAATGTTCCACCTGCATCTGAGTGATTATGTTCTTTTCCTTGATAAAATGCTGAGACACATGATAAACAACGTTATTTTCAGCAACTCTTCAAATTGTTGAAATACATGTACGTGGACCGGGAAGTGTAGATGTTTGGTCTCTATTGTATCCTGGAAATTTTGCACTTGTTGTTCCAAACAAGGTTATGAATTACATGTTATCAGTGGTGGAATGTCATTCATGCACAATATCACCGACCATGAACTTTGCTTTGTGACAGGTATTGCTTTTGTATCATGATCTCATCTCCCAAAACCAACATACCCTGAATATTTTATGGGGTCTTTACCCTTTTTAAAATAGTTCTGAAAACAAAACAGTAGCATGTCACGATGTGCTTCAGTTACATGAAAGTTGTAAAAAAGTATGTTTTAAATAGAGGTCAAGTTGTTACCAGTAGATCAGCGTGGTGTAGAATGAATGTATTGAAATTGTCATTATCTTTTGAAATTCGTAACCTGCACTGTAAGTCTTTCCAATTCAACTTCAAGCAACTTTGTATAAAATGGAAAATAGAAAACACAAACCATGTTCAAGTTTTGCAAATGAAAATTGAATGTTAGGATGGTTCTGCCTAATTGACTCATGTTGGAAGTCATTACTGTACATGTACCTTTTTGCAGAATAAGGCTCCGTGTAAAACCCATGCTGGACCCCAAAAAAGTGTCACTACATTGAACTCTTCAATAAGTGTCACTTCAACAGTCTTTTTCTTCACATGCATAGACATAGTATCCTGTGTTTAGTTTTAGAACAGCATATTGTAATTTAAATGATATTAACTCTGAAGCGTCCATGCAGGAGTAAAACAATGCAGAAAGTGAAACTTTAGGAGCACTGGAAGTATTTGACACTTGAGCCAAGTTTGCATTCTGTATGTCAGAGATATGACATTTGAACCAGACAAGATTTCATGTTTGGCATAGTGCCTTGTCCGGGTCAAACAAAGGTCAAAGCACAGACCGTCCTCCCAGGGATCAAAGCCTGGCACTTTCTGTTTTCCAACCCTCGGGATTACTTGGCGTATTTGGATCTGATTTTTGTAGTCTTTTTTTGGATTTACATGTAGGCCTCCTCCTGCAAAGTGAGAGGGGTTGACCCTGTCATTTCCAGATCCTCGTTTCCAGATCCTCGGAGGGTTTGGAAGATTATGCAGGTTAAATGAAGGTGCATGTTCATTTTGCAGCCACTTTCACTTTAAAATGTGAAACTTGATGCTCTAAAGATGGAAGTGAAGTACAATAGAAGATGCTACTGTGTATGTAAATTTTCAGGCACAGGTAGGCAGGTGCAGTTACCTGGTAGGGGGATTCAGACTGTGTTCAGGAAACAATGAAATTAGGAAAATGCCTGTGCCTACATGTAGGTACTCATAGAATTCTTTTTAAAATTCTCAGAAAAAGAGAGAGATCATGTGCCTGTGATGTTCACCTTTGCTGTGCTGTGCTGTGCTGTGCTTGGAAAATTTAGCCGTGTTTACAGAAATATTAATGCACAAATCATGGCTGCAGAGCTAGCCTGACATAAACATCATGGTTCAATGGAGTTTCTAATCTTTGCAGAAATACCCAGAAAGTTTATGATACACCTAAAAATTCCTGTTTTTTCCTCCTTTTAACCTAGCCTCCTCAAAACCAGCCATATCGATGATGTTTGTGGATTCATTTTGGAAAACCCATATTTGTACCAATGTACATGTACTTTAAACATGTAGTGCATGAGGCTTCGCATTGTGTTTAACTGTGTGTACTGTACAGTAAGGATGGAGCCAGGAGCCCCTCCCGGGGGGAGGGGCACCTGTTGGAAGTATGGGGTGCAGCTAGATAACCACATCCACTGATTTTAATAGTCTACAAGTTTTCACAGGTTTTTTGTGCATTTAGTGGTAGATTGGGAAAATATCCATGCATCCTTGTTGCTGCTCTACACTAGATTTTTTTTTCCTGTTTTCACGCTGTTTATCTCCTTTTAGTGCAGGGATGTTTTGTTCAGAAAAGGTTCACCAAAGTCTGTAGGGAAACTGAGGAATAAATACAGTATTTTGAAAAGACAATTTTAACCCCGATGGTCCTGAATCCTCTTCAGGAATGATCCTCAAATTTTCAATGCTAAATTTGAGCTTTTCCAGCAAATGATTCAAAGACCTTAGATTTTTTAGACCTGTGTACCGGTACGTGTGCAGCATGTATTGCAGTGATATATGAGGAAAGATTCCTCTAAAGAGACAAACAATAGCAGATCATGATAAGTGATATATGGAAGAAAATAATACAGTCATGACGTACAGCTAGTGGATGCAAACCAAACTTGATCTTTACAAGGAAAAAGTTCTGCATCTTCCTTCTTGCATTCAATTTCCTTGTCAAATACTGTAGGCTCAGTTCATGCTGGTTTGTTTACTGGTACGTAATCCTGGAACTTACATGTACATGTGCATGGGTTTACAGTGTCTCCATTATGCATATTGGAAGTTAACCCTCCGCTGCACAGGGCCGATTTTTTCATGTTAATAATTCAGGCTCAGATTCAGATTAACAGCTCTAGTGGTGCTGTGCTGTTTTGTTTTGGAAAGTCATATTTTTAGAAATTGACGATGGTACTTCAGTGTTTAGAACGTCTAGTAAAAGGTTGAAACTGGCATTTACATGCATTAATATTTGTCTTTATAGAGACCCATCATTATCAGTTTAGACATCTACTTTGATTGGGGAAATGAAATAATTTCACTCTTAAATTTTGTTTCAAAGACAAAGTGGCAAGTCACAAGGTATGTATTTGCTATTACTGCAATTAATCAGAAGTGACCTCATGCCCAAATGACCATGATTTTGGTATTACATATCTGCAGTTTTGTCCTTGAAAATTTTCAAAGCAGCATCACAGCGGATAATATTGTTGCCCCTAAGGGACACTGTTTATTAAGGGTATAAATGGGTTTTTTATGGATATTCTGTCATCCAAAACCAATGACCTTTTGGGAACAAGGTGAGAATATGGAGCTGTAAAAATTGCTTTCGCTTCAAAATTCCCCAAATTTAGGTCTGTGTAAAAAGTTCAGTGAACTGGAAAAAAGGATATAGTAGAAGTTGGAATGTGGTACATGTTTATTTACTCTGTGTGGGTGGTGCAAGATTCACCAGTATCTAAAAACATGTCTTATTTGTGGTTTTGAAGGATGTGATATTGCGGCGTAACCTGTACCAAAAAGTTTCCAGGTATTCAAAGTGAAAGGTTGGGGCTTTGGCAGTGAATTTGGCACTGCCGTAGCTTCTTAAAATATGAATCTTGTAATTAATACATGTACTGTGTATACATGTTTATGTACATTGAGTTGTCTAGTTGGTACCCTCCTTTTTGACACTCGTTTTTTGGGACACCCAGGATCAACAACAGGCTCTCTACCTAACAGTACCAGGGTGATCTTTTAGTCAGCACTTCAAAACTACATGTATACATGTGTCAAAATTTGCCTTCAGGCAAAACAAGATGTGTAGAAATGACTCATAGATCTCCAAAAGACCGCGACATCCTTATGGCTCAAACGTTGCCCAACAGGCAATCACATGTATCTGGCCTTATTGTGTTGTAATTGAAAACCACAATTCAGGGTAATACAGCTTTATGTACTACCAATATGCCCCCCCAAGTTGTTTGTTACTAGCCTGACCAGCAGACCCATTACTGTCAGTGTACTATAATGCACACAAATCCACCTGCTGGCTTCCTAGCCATTACACCTGATAGTGAGGCCTCAAAGTCAAAGAAGAAAGAAAGCAAAACGAAAGGAAATACTTGGCTATTCAAAAAGTTGTCTTCAGTACATGTATGTAGGATAGCCCAGTTATTTGTGAAAGTTATTTTGCCCTTTGAACTTGACCTTGAATGTTTGCTTTTGTTGGGGCACTTCCTTTGACAAATAACTTTTTGGAAATGTCAGAGCACCGCCATATTTGCACTACGGAAGACTAATGCAGCATGCACAGTCACTAAATTAAGACTTACCGGTCATTTCTTCATTCAGCTTGTAATGTGGAAACAGAGATGAAAGTTCCCACTAGATTCTGTAACATACAAAGGTAATTTCAACTGTACATGTCAGTCTACGAGGGCATACATGTACACACCGCAAACTAATCAAGCAGTTACATACATTGTAGCTGAGTTGTCTGAGAAGTAATTCATTTCACATCAATGACACATGTAGAAGTGGATCAGTTTGCCCTTGATAATAGAATCCAACCAAACATTGTTTACAGAGTCAATAACATTGTGCAAGTTGCAAAGCCTCGCCATTTTTATAATTTAATGGGTAGATAACCAGTTTTATGAGATGTACTGGGGAGTTATACCTATCATCAAGAGTTACCAGTCCTGTACATTAACTGGTATGTTACCTGTATAATCAGTATACATGTATTAGTGAGTGTGGGTCACTAGACATTCAATGGTATGGTGTTCACTGTGTTGGATTGTACGAAACATATACAGGTACATGTAGATTTCAAATCGCATTACATGAAAGTCCACATGAAATTCATGACTGAAATGAGAGCCCAACTGAATGCAAGGAAATGTACATTTACCGTAATTTCATGGTCATTTGCTTGCATGTTAGAAGACCATTTGCCTTGGTGCTCACTAGTTGTAAGACACACCCTGTTGCATATTTTGAAGGCATGAGGAATCGATCCAAATATTTTATACCACTACCAGATTTTGCTTCATCCCAAATTATACCAGCATTCTTGATGACAGACTCCATTTATGTTCTATATGTGCCCGGTCACATGCACAGCAACAAGTGATAAAGTATCATTGATTTGATACGTGTATATGTCATGTATACAGATATAAAGGAATTTCACATCCAAAGTTTAAGGGAAGATATGCCAAATCTTGTCGATCATTGTTCTCTTTTTTACAATTCATGTCGCAACTTTTCATACCCAACTGTCATGTGACTGAAATATTTTTGTCTCCTGTTTCAGGAAGAGCACAAGATTCATTTACGAGCGTTAGCTGAGATACACAAGAAGATCAAACCATTACCTGGTAAGACAGCAGATCAGGTTGCATGTGTGTCGTAAATATCCATGATTTCACTCGTTTTTAATAGAAACGATATTTGTGTATAAAAGTCAACACCCTTACCCTAATAAATTCAATGAAATCTAACACTGAGCAATTTCTGTGGAAATTTGGTTGCTTTTAAATGAAAACTACTGGCTGGATTCTGTTAGTTTTATTAGGATTTGGGAAAATGAAGGCCCATCATCATTCTTTATAGCTTTGGAAATTGGTCATCTAATGTAGGGTCGTGGTAAGTCACCTTCAAGAATTAATCTGTGTCATGTAATGTGAAGGATTTTGACTGCCTCCTTGTGGATGTGAAGTGATTTTGACTACTCAATCTGGTCATGTTGATGTGCTGGAAAGGGGAATCAATTGCATCTCATTGAATGGTACTTTGATGCTGTTTTCAGCCTCTCTTGCCAGAATTCTAGTATTGATGGAGTGATGCTCATTTTCTAAATGGTTACCAAGACAGGTGTTTTCATGTTTGGGGACAACATACAACAGGATGCAGTGCATGCATATTGTATGATTGGTTCTAAATGACGTCAACCTGTAAATATCAACAATGAGCTCAGCTGACACAGCTCCATCACTTTTTGTAAATTAGACCTGGATAAATTGCTTGCTGTTATTAATGTTACTACAAAGAGCAACACCGATGGCAATCTGCCATCAGGAAAACATGAGTGGAGAGAGGAGGAAGTCTTAATGATTGGCCAAATACAATGCACTGATAATGTCTGTCTGGGTTGGAATATGTTTATGGTGACTGGTCATGTCATGTTTATGGTAGGAGGAACTTAAAACAAGATAAAATGTTCCAAAATTATTTGATTGGTAGAACTTTGAGAGAAATACATGTATATGGCACCAATGCTTATTGAATGTTTTTCTCTCTACCTTGGTTCATTGACATTGAACGTGTACATGTATTGGGGACAATTCGATGCACACATTATTTAAGGGATCCACCGGTTTATCTCCGTTACTCTCAGTAGCAGACTGGTGTTACTGTGTGTCTGACATTCTACCAGTATATACTTAGTTCCATTGTTTTACGCAGTCTTTCTGTTGCCATTTTTAACACTTTTCCTAACACCAGGGAGAAATCGTTCAGTCAGCTGCCCAGGTACAGTCGACAGATTTGTGATAACTGTGTGCAAGATGTGTTCCCTGTGTTTGATTATCTTCAAGCAAACTTGAATCTCTTATACCGATTGCTGATGCTTAAAAAAGGGGATGCTGGGATACATTGCATGTCTTGTGCATCGTACGGGTGCAGTGTATATGAACACCTCTTCAACAGATTCTGTATGTTGATTGGCCGAAAGCTGCTACCGGTAGTCACATGGCAATGGCTTTTTTGCTGTCTTGCTTTTCACAGCCAAAAAGAACCACACCCATAGCAACCAAAGTACATGTACGTACTAATGTATATGTAACAACCAAAGAACTGTGCATGTTACCACTGGCATTGGGTTCAAATGCATGCTGGTGTACACGTTGCAAGCATTCCAAAGTGCTAGCATCACTGAACTGGGTTCAAACATTTCGTGAATGGGCACATTTCTTGAACGGGCACAGTGCATGTACATGTAGTTTGGAAAAGTGCTGGTAAATTTTCAACAAATTTCTTGTTTAACCAGAAGCAGCTTTTTATGAATTTAGATTATTAAAATTAACTGGTTATTGCTTAAATTAAGCAGAATCTGTTGGAGAGGCGTCACCAAACAAATATTATCTCCTGGTGTAGTAAAACCAACCTCCCTCCATCCAGGGAGCATTCTATTTTCTCTTGGCCTCCAGAGATCAGTTAGAGAGCGTAGTTTTACTACACCAGTTTAAAGCAGTCAATACCTGCAGTATACGACCGTCATCTTTCCAGTTTGCGAGGAGCAGCTGGGGCCATCATACTTTCTAAAGTTGATTTCTTCCGAATTCTTGGAGGGATGGAACAGGAAAGGCAGGCTTTGGGTTCCATCCCCTTCCTAATGGCATACGGCCACAGGTTGTACATTTATTGGTTTGGTAGTCATTCAGAAACAGGTGCAGCCAGGGGTGTATGGTGGTGAGAATATTGCACCTAGGCATGCACAGTTGGATCATCAAGTTTGCTTAAAGATAAATGTGTTATCGTGCTTGTACCGATGGAAGACAGAAAAGGTCACGTGCCATTTTCGTGTCACACAGAATTAAGTTGCACCTCATTTCTTCCTTGTTCAAGTGTTCCATTCATCATTTCTGATTTCATGAGAATATTGGATTCAGTAGTGTTTGGTTGCTGTGTATATCATGTGTGCGTGTGTAACCACCTGTACATGTAGCTTTAGCCATCCATAGTTTCTTCATGCTAGATTTGTAGCGCACAGGTGTACATATTTGTAGGAGTCATGGAAGCTGATATTATTACTTATTCTTTGATACACTTCCCATTGTGCGTGTCCATAAAGCAGAGCTGGTAGAGTAGGCCCACACATTCTGACCCAATTCTTTTTTTTCAGTGCACAAATTCACATTATTTTACTTCAATTCAAACAATGTCAGGAGTCGAGTCAACTTGAGAACATGTGGACGATTTTACTCTACATGTTGAAGTCATTAAGCCCAGTTTTTCCATCTGTGGAACGGACAACTTAACACGTACCGTACATTAGCAAGACTGCAGTGTCTGTGATGAAAGTTGCTTGGTTACCGTAGCTTTGATTTAGATTGTAAGACTGACAAATGTGACAGATATGAGGTCAGAATGATGGTAAAAGTTGCAGGAAATACACGCAGCACTGTAGTGCTAGAGCCAAAATTTAGCGTGGATCACTCCCATTACACTACTGGTATTTACAAGCATATCCCATCATCAATTGTAGAAATCGGTATTGCAAAGCAAGCTTTTCAACGCATTAGTCTGCAAACCATCTCTGCTGTATTCACAGTTGGCTGGTTGCTCAAAAAAGGCAGCATCACAATTAAAGTGAGAGGCTCATACACAATTTCCCAGACAGTTCTGGAATTCTGTGAACTGTGTCAGTATGCCATGTACATGTACATGTGGGTTCACTGTATACTTAAAGGGTAACAGAAATTAAAAACATTTAGTTCACCTGTTCATGTTCTGTGTGCAATCATGCAATGTACATTCTATTCCATGAGCGCGAACGGCCAAAAGGGGATTTTGGGTGAATGGGGAAATGCAGGATCGTTTTATTCATTTTGGGGTCACAATTAATGGGATAAACATTGAAGTTATGATGTTTTGGAAATGGTTACGTATTTATTGTTATTTTGAAATATTTCAAATGAACTAAATGTTTTTAATTTCTGTTACCCTTTAAGTACACAGTGAATCCACATGTACTGTATGTACACATGTATTCAGTACATGTACCGTATGTTTGATGATGTAGGTCTTTATGTTCATGTGATTAGAGTTAAACCAGTGTTATTTCAATTTCCCAGTTTACTTGCATTTCATAGTAGAAAAAATACAAACACAAAGCCCCGATAAAGCTCAGGCCACTGCCCTTTGTATGCTTAACCTCGGCTAACAAAAGATAAAGATTGAATTGAAATCCCTGAGCTTTTGAATTGAGATTTAGACATGGGTATTGGATGTGATGGGAATTTCATGTACATGTAACTATTATGCCGCGTTAAAGGGTTAGATGCATGCACATTACATGTATGTCAAAGCAGAAGAGATTTCTGTACCGCTTCAATTGAGACGTGCAATATGAAGGTGTTGCTTTAACAGGCTACAGCACATGCACTTGTACATATGTACAGTATGTCACAGTCATAGCACGAAGCAGAATTACCCAGCTTCAAATTGAAACAGGTGTTACAAATAATTGATAAGTGAATACTGATATGCTGCAATCTTTTGTAAGTTAATACCCTAGGATCAGAACAGAGATTAGCCCCGTTATTGTCAAACACCTGACCATTCTCTACAGTCATGTACCTGTTGTGGGAGTTGATACATGTACATGTATGTACAGTATGTTAGGTATGAGGAGATTGCATATGACACAGAAGACA